TACCAAAAGAATATATATCAGATTTATCTGAAAATAATTCATTTGAAATGATTTCAGGAGCAGCACATAAACCATTCATTTTTTTAATTTTTTCTGATTCAATTCCTAATTCAAATAAAGCGAAATTACTTAGTTTAATAGTATAAACATCATCATATTCATTATTATCATCAATTTTTTTCTTTACAATAAGGATGTTAGAATCTTTAAGAATTCTATGTAAAATCCCTTGTTTATGTAAAAAACTTATTGCATCAATAATTTGAATTGCTAAATCAAATACTAATTTCCATCCAATAGTTTGTCTTTGAAGAAGATCCATTAAACTTCCATTATCACAATATTCCATTATTAATGCTTTTTCTTCTTCAAGAACACCAAAATATTTTAATAATCCATTACATTGTTTTAATGTTATTAATATTTTTGAATTTTCATTAAATAATTTAACATTTGTATTAGATCTTTCAAATGTTCTAATAATAACTGTAGTTGAATTATTTTCTTCTAGTATTGCAGTGAGTATTGTTCCAAATTCAACTTTTCTAACTTCTCCAGTATATTCACATGTTTCTTTTTTTCTAATCCATCCTTTTTCTGGTATTTCTCCTTCAAATAAAGTTCTTTTTGAAGGTATTTCTTTAATAGCTTTTTCAGGATCAATATCTTTTATTAATTTAAAATTTCTAACTAATTTCATTTGTTCTTCATTTTCAGTAACTCCCATTTGAAATAAAATTCTTGGAGAAACTTTTGCTAATGTCCATTTAAACATTTTATTCTTAACAAGAAGTTTAATTGAAGTTGGATCTGCACCAATATGTTCAAGATATTTAATAAGCTCTAATATATAGATAAATGTCCTTGCAAATGCTGTGCCTTTATATTTATTTTCACAAATAGATAATGGTGTTTCTCCTTGTTTGTTTGGTATATTAATGTCTGCTCCATAAAGTAATAAAATTGATAATAAATCTACTCGTTGCATATAAACTGCCCAATGTAATGCTGTTTGTCCTCCTTCTGTTTGAAAATTTACTAATGCTCCATTTCTAAGAAGTAATTCAACAAGTAACATACGAATTGATGGATTTTGAATTGCTCTATGAAGAGGTGTTTCATGAAGTCTATTTAATGCGTTAACATCTGCTCCACGTTTTAAAAACATATTAAAAGCTTCACTACAATTTGGATTTCTAAAATATGAACAAAAGAAATGAAGGGGAGTATTTTCATCTAAATTTTTTATATTTACATCAACATGACTATTATTTAATAATGTTAATATAATATGTTCATTATTATATTCTATAGCGGCTGTATGAAGAGCTGTATTCCCGAGATCATCTTTTTGATTTATTGAAGCTTTAAAATGTTCTAAACAATAAATCACAAGAAATAAACTATTCTTTTGAACTGCAGAAATTAAAGGAGTTTGGTCTTTTGATAATACTTTTTCATCTTCTTTTTCTCTATCTTGGAATAAATAACATGAAAGTGTAATAGTAGGAATAATACCATCTTTATATTTTAGCTTTTCATTTGTAATATCTTCTTTACAATCATTTGATGTTGACGTTTGATTGTCTTTATTAAATGGGTCTAAAACAAGTTCAATACAATGATGAGTATCATATGGTAATAAACTATTTAAAAGAATTTGTCCAGTATATATTTTATTTGGTTTATTTCTTTCTTTATTATGAAATTCAATATCAATAACATTAGAATTAGTGTCAATCCCAGTAAATTCAATTGTATTTGATGGTGGTTTAGGATAAATATTAACAGTATTTCTATTAATTTTTACTCTTTTCTCTTTCTTATTTATAAGAAACGTAAAAAAAGCTTCTCCTGGTGTGTTATTGACAGAAAATAAATTCATTGCTTTTGTTAATTCAATTCGTATTTTCCTCAAGATTGTTTCACCTGAAGAAGGATTTGTCATTCGTTTATTTTTTCTATCTCTTTTGAGTTACTTTTTTAATTTCTCTTTTTTTTTATTTTTTATTTTTTAAATTTTGTTTTTTGTAACATTATTAAATATCTTTTATCTTTTACATATCATTTTGTATTATTTATCTTGTAATTCAAAACTATTATTACTATCTTTTATTTCTTATCTTTTTTTTACTCCATCATTCTTTAACTTTTTTACTGACTATTTGGTTTTGTTTTTTTTTTCTGATATTAAGATATTTATTTGACTATTATATTCGTTTAATATATTCTCATAACGTATTAGTATTAAGATATCTTTTAGTTTGAAATTAAACAACAAACATCATAATAATTCAATGAGTAAGAATAAGAATATTGAAAGAAGTTCTTAAACAAACATAAAAACTCAAGAATCAATCAAAAATGAAAAGTAGAAAGAAAAGAGAGTAATTATACTTTATTTGTCAATAAGATTTAATTTATGAATCTTTTATAAGAGAAACAATTTGATTAAAGTTTATCAAATAAGAAGATTAACAAAATAATTATTATATCATTAAGAAGAATCATAAAAAAAAAATAAATATTATAAAAATAAAATAATTGAACTAAAGAAGAGGAGAATATTTTGTATATCGACAAATACTTGTTGGTTGAACCATAAATCCATTCTTTGTTTTTTTCAAATTGATGATACATTTTTTTCTTCTTGGAATATCTTGATTCTTATGAAGTACTCTAAACTTAGTTGACTTTACCATAGAATCAAATAATTTACTATCACTCCATGGAGTTTCACACCATTCATTAAATGATATTTCAAATGCACTATTAACATATGTTGAATCTTCATAAATAAGATCACTCCATTTAATTCTATTTCTACGTGTTTCTTCAGTAGCTTTACCAATATTTAAATACAATACACCAACATCTTGAATGTCAGCACTTAATACTTTTTCAAAAATATTTTGGAAACTACCAAAATAAGGAATACATGGATTTCCTAATTCTTTCATTGCAGTAATTAAATTAGGATATGATCCATCTTTTGGGTCAGTCAATTCATTAACCCAATTTCTAAGTTTAGACATATCATTACGAAGTATTGGTTTCTCGAATTTATTTAGTCTAAAAGAAGAAAACCCAATAGAAAGTCCCAAAGTTGCAAGGAGATTATGTCGTAACCAATACAATTGTGAAATTATTTCAATGAAATATTCATGAAATTCTTTATTTAATAATGGGTTTTGAACGCTTTCATATAATGATTGAGAGACCCAATATGCCAAAATATCAACTTTCTTTTTTAAATCAGTTGCTCCAATTCCAGCTCTTCTCATTTGTTTTGAATAAAAAATTGCACGAGGTGGACATTTAGTAAAAATACCAACATGTGCTTCAGTTAATTTTTGTGCAACAAATCTAGGATTTAATAATATATAAAAATATTGTGGTGGATATCTCCAAATACATCTTTTAAAGATAGGTAATTCATATTCTTCTTTCATTGATAATAATGAGGCATTAACAGTCCCTCCATTTTTATGAACTTTTAATAATTCTTCATAAATTGAATAAAGTCCACTCATATATTTACTTTCAAATGCTCTTGGAACTTTACGCCAATGTTCTAAAAGAAATCCTACATTAATAACTTTACGTTCATCTTCTTTTATTAAATGAATTAATGAAGCAAAAAAATCTTCTTGAGTAATTTTATACAATAAAGGAAGCCATCCATAACAATGAGAATAATTCACTTTGTTTGTAGAACAATTATCAAAAAATGTGTTTGGTGCTTTAGTCATATTATCACAATATTCATTATATTCAGTTTGAAATGGAGGACTGTTTTGTATTTTTAAATTCTTTTTAATAAGTATTTTACATTGGTCAAGTTTACTCTTCCAATCATTATTTTGTTCTTGAACAATTCGTTGCAAATTAATAAATTGGTCTACTAATGTAAATAATGTATAACTATTCTCATCAAATTTAACTGGTAAATATTCAGATAAAGTTCTTTGTGGCTTAGTTCGTGGAGATAATTCTGGGTTGGATGAAACCATTGATGACACTCCATCATTTTGAGTATTTAAATTATCTTCACTTGTTTCATTAGGAGTTTGTAAATTAGAAGTGGTAGTAGTTTTTGACTGATTATTTAAATAAGTATTACTAAGACTTTTTATTACATTTTCTAAATGAAGTAATGAAAACACAATAGTTTCTATTGTAATTAATAAAATAAGACAATCCCAATGATCGAAATTCGAAGTTAATGATGTTAAAATTACTTCAGTAAAGTGTATTAAATCTATAAAGAGATTGTTAATTAAATAATGAAGTCGAACAACAGTAATGCAATTAGAAGGGAATGACTGTGATGTAAGAAAATTAACATATTCTGTAATATTACTATAAAACTGAATAAAGTCTGTATTAATAAATTGTTTAGCGTTGTAATTAATACTAAAGTTTTTTAATTTACTTTTTATATTTTGTAAACTTTGATACAATGAATAGCCATGACATGTTTCAATCTGTAATTCATCAATGTCATTCATCATTTTAAATTGTTGAGGCAATGTCATTGCTCTTCGTGTTACTTGACAACTTGTCATTGTCTTCATACTTCTTCCTAAAAAATGTGTAGTAGAAGCAGATGCTTTCATTTTTTTTGTTTTATTTTTTCTCTTATTTTTAAGTTCTTTGGTTTTTATCTTTCCTTTTTGTTTTTGACATAACAATCAGTCTGGTAACATTTTCTGATTGTTTTATTCTTTTGTGTTTTATGAAGTAAAATGATCTAAAAATATAAATAGGAAGTCAAAACTGTATAATGAGTGATTGAGAAGGAAGGATAAAAAGTTCTTATGGAAATTACTTCTAAGATTATTATTAATTCTTAGAAATAAAGATGAAATAAATAAAATCATTCAGTTATGAATAACCAACAAAACTCCAAATGAAACCGATAGAACGATTGACGTCGAAACCAACAACGAAATCATAGTTTTTTAGTTTGAAATCTAAAAATTACATTTAAAAAGTATATGAAGAAGTTCTTTGCAAAAGTAACCAAACACGATAAAAAAGATGATAAAGATAAGGAGGAAAAGAAAAAAGAAGAGAAAAAGAAAGACAAATCTCATCACGAAAAAGAAGAGTCACAAAAAATAAAAGAAGAAGCTAAGAAGAAAGCTGAAGAAGAAGCTAAGAAGAAGGCAGAGGAAGAAGAAGCTAAGAAGAAAGCTGAAGAAGAAGCTAAAAAGAAAGCTGAAGAAGAAGCCAAAAAGAAAGCTGAAGAAGAAGCCAAAAAGAAAGCTGAAGAAGAAGCTAAGAAGAAGGCAGAGGAAGAAGAAGCTAAGAAGAAAGCTGAAGAAGAAGCCAAAAAGAAAGCTGAAGAAGAAGCTAAGAAGAAAGCTGAAGAAGAAGCTAAAAAGAAGGCAGAGGAAGAAGAAGCTAAAAAGAAGGCAGAGGAAGAAGAAGCTAAGAAGAAGGCAGAGGAAGAAGCTAAAAAGAAAGCTGAAGAAGAAGCTAAAAAGAAAGCTGAAGAAGAAGCTAAAAAGAAAGCTGAAGAAGAAGCTAAAAAGAAAGCTGAAGAAGAAGCTAAGAAGAAGGCAGAGGAAGAAAAGAAAAACCAGCCACAAGGACTAGGATTAGGTGGAGGATTAGGGCAGCCACAAGGATTAGGTCTTGGAGGTGGACTTGGACAACCACAAGGACTAGGACTTGGAGGTGGATTAGGATTAGGTGGAGGACTTGGACAACCACAAGGATTAGGACTTGGACAACCACAAGGATTAGGACTTGGACAACCACAAGGATTAGGACTTGGAGGTGGATTAGGATTAGGTGGAGGATTAGGGCAGCCACAAGGATTAGGTCTTGGAGGTGGACTTGGACAACCAAGTGGATTACCTAGTTTAGGACAACCAAGTATGCCAGTTACCTCTGAACAAGGAAGTGCTGGAATTAGTGGTGGAGAGCTTCAGATGAAAGGTACTGGTAAAAAAACAATAAAAAAGAAGAAGATGGGGGTTGCACAATCAGCATTCTTTGCACATGAAAATGAAGAAAAGGCAAATGCAATGTTAAGTAAGATTGCTGATGATGCAGTGTTAGTATTTGATTGTGGAAGTTCATTTATCAAAGTTGGGGTTGCAGGAGAAGAACAACCAAGAAAGGTTATTCCAACGTGTTATTGTGTGATAGAAGATGAAGAATATGAAGGAGGAGAAAGAAAAGAATTTGGATATAAAGCTATTGATGAAAATGCTAAGTTAATTTGGCCTCTTGATCCAAGAAATGATACTGATTGGGATGGGTTGTTTGACATTATCCAAAATATTTATCAAGTCGAATTAAACGAATTAGAACCAAGTGCCCATGCAGTAGTGATGACAGATTTACCAAACATGAATGAAGTTGCAACAGACAAAATCAAGTCTATGATGTTTAATGATTTGAATGTTCCATTTTTAAAAATAGTTAATCCAGCATTAATGGCATTGTATGCAGAAGGAAAGGAAACTGGTCTTGTAGTTGAAATTGGTAATAGAATGCAAATAGTACCAGCTGTCGATGGATTTGTTATTGATAGTGCTATAACTAAAATTAAAGGTAATGTTTCTGGGTTAACAGAGTATATGCAACGGTTATTAAGGTCATGTGGATATATTTATACAACGTCACAACAAATGGAATTAGTTAGAGCAATTAAAGAAAATGTTTGTTATGTTGCCCTTGACTATGATGCAGAAATGAAAAGAAAGCCTAGAGAAATTATGAAAGAATATAAAGTTCCTGGAAATGATAACACTTCTAAATTCTTCCAAGAACGATTCCAATGTCCAGAGGCTTTATTTAAACCAGAAAAGGTTGGTATTGATACAGAAGGATTACCACAAATGATCTTTGAATGTATTAAAAAATGTCCATTAACTTCAAGAAGACCATTGTTAAATCATATCATTTTGGCTGGAGGATCAACATTATTCCCTGGATTACCAGAAAGACTTGATCAAGACCTCAAAAAAATTTTAGAAGAAAATAAGATGAATTCAAGAGATGTTAAGATTATTGTTCATCAGAATAGAAAATATTTAGCATGGGCTGGTGCTGCTTTATTAGCTGGTATGTCTACATTACAAGATGAAGAACAATGCACAAAAGATTATTACGATAATAATTAAATTCACAACAACTTTTTATTTTTATTTTTTTAAGTCATAAACTTTTTTTATGTATTTTAGATTTTTGATATAAAAAGTGAAAAGAAAAGTCATACATATTATAAGGTAAATCTTTCTCTTTGTATGAAATTATTATGATTCCTGTATCACCTAAACAGTCAGACAAGTCTCAGTCAACTCAATTTCTTTATTCTCCAATTTATCAGAACCAGCCTGTCTCACCTTTTAATGGTTTATCACCTAATTATGGAGGTTATCAATCATCTCCTGTTCAAATAGTGTATGTAAGTGAACCTCAAGCAAAACTATTATTTGTATTAGGATTTATATTTTGTTGTTTATGGCCAATTAATGCATGTTTATACCGTCATTCAACAAATAAACAAATTCAACAATGGGTTCAATTGTCTATACTTTGTTTTTTCCTTTCATTAATTTTATTTTCATTAGTAATTATCTTTGTAGTTATTGGAATCAATTATGAATTGTTCGCATCACTTAATTGATATTTCAATTGAACCATTTCTTTCACTTTTGAAAACAAAATAGTGCAACTTAAATAGAAAAAGTACATCAAGAAAATCAATCTAACGTATAATAAAATATTGTGTTTTGTATTATTTAAGACCAACCAAATGAAGTAGATAATCCCAAAATGTTTTTCTTGGTTGAATAACTAATTGTTGGAGAACATCACCACAGCCATATTCTTCTCCAAATTGATTAATACCATTTACTAAATATTGTTTTCCATTTGCTGACATTAAACCATTGGAGATCATTTTATGAGCATCATTAACAGAAGAATAAACAATTTTTATATCCCCATTATTAGTTTGATTTACTGCTTCTATCTTACCATTTTTTTTTGCTTCTTCAATAATTTTACCCATTTCAGATAATGGTGCATTTTTAATAATAATAGAACGTTGATTATTCATTTGACTTGGACCATCAGATAATGTAGTTAAAGGGGTAGACATAAACACTGATGTTCTTCTTAATTGTGGTTGTCTTAATCCATTATTTAATGGAGTGTCTACAATAGAATTTCGTGGTAATGATATAGAAGGTTGTTTTGTTTTTTTTTGGTTAAACAATGTTACTGGTCTTTCATTTTTTGTTCTAATATCCATATTTAAATATGAAGAAGGTAGTTCTGTTACATTAATTTCATGTACATATCACTTTTTTAACAAAGAGACAAACTATACATAGATGGTCTCATCTACACAATTCACTTTTCCCTTTTTTTTGTTTTTTTTTTATAAAATAATTATAAAATATGAATAATAAAGTTATTATAATTTAATAGTATATTAAATATAACAACAAACAATTTATTTTATTATTATTTTTTATTATTTAATAATATTCAAATAATACTAATAGTTCTAAATTAAAATGAATATTATATTCACCCAACATGATGTTTTCTTATGGATTTATCAACATCCAGAAGATTCTGAATTAGATAAACAAGTCTTTCATTCTTCTGTTTTAACTAATGAAAAAGATCATACATATCAAATGTCAACAAGAAGAATTAAGTCAATAATTATTCCAGAATATATTAATGTTCTTGATGAAAATTGTTTTAATGATGAAATAAAATTAGTTTCAATCATTTTACCTGATGAATTACTTAGTATTAAATCTAATTGTTTTAGACATTGTAATAAATTAGCATTTATTGAATTGCCATCAAAATTAGAAGTAATTGGAAATAAAGCATTTGAATATTGTGATTTAATTAATACTATTTCAATTCCTGATTCAATTCATTTAATAGGAATTGATGCATTTGATAATTGTCAGTCACTTAATTCTTTCTCATATTCTAAAATAATTGGTATTATTCATTCTAATATTTATTATTTAAATACTTTTAATGAATTATTATATTTTAAAAAACCATCTCAACTTGAAATGATTAATGGACAACCTATTAATCTCTTTTTTATGAATTCTTTAGATATTCTTCTTAAAAATGAGTCAATTCAATCAATTGGATCTTCTTGTTTTAAAGAAAATAAATCAATTTCAGAAATTACTCTTCCTGAATCAATTACTTCAATTAAAACAGAGGCTTTTGCTTATTGTGTAAATTTAACTTCAATAAATTTACCTTCAACACTTAAAAAAATTGAAAATGATGCATTTAAGAAAGTTAATTTAAAAACAATTAAACTTCCAGATTCAATAATAACATTAGGATCTTCTGTTTTTGAAGGTTGTACATCATTATCATCAATTTATTTTTCATCAAATTTATTAAATCTTGGAGACCGTTCATTTGCTTTTTGTAAAAGTCTTTCATCAATAACATTACCCTCTTCTCTTACATTAATTGGAAATAATATATTCATGAATTGTACATCAATTAAGTCTATGAATATTCCAAATAATTTGACAATACAAAATGATAATTGTTTCTTTGTTAATTCAAATATTCTTTTAAAAGTAAAATTACCACCACTATTGTTAAAATTAAATTCAATAACATTATCTTCTTATAACAATAATAATTTAACAATATCTATTCCATCAAATTGTTCTGTTCTTTCAAATCATTGTTTTGAATCTTCATTAATTCAATCTATTGAACTTTCTACATTAATTACATCACTTGGTAATAATTGTTTTTGTAAATCTAATTTAACAAAAGTTATTCTTCCATCTTCTTTATCATCCCTTTCTATTAGTTTGTTTGAAAATTGTTTCTATTTAAAGTCAGTTCAATTACCATCATCATTACAAGTTATTCCAAAGTATTGTTTTAGTCATTGCAATGCTTTACTTTCTATTACACTTCCTACTTCCATTACTATGATAGATGAAGGTGCATTTTCTAATTGTAGTCATCTAACTTATATGGAATTATCTTCAAATATTAAAATAATTGGTGCCAGTTGTTTTGAAGATTGTAGTTTTCTTCCAACATTACAATTAGAATCATTACCACTTATCACTATTGGTAATGAATGTTTCTATGGTTGTAATGCACTAAAAACAATTAGCCTTCCTTCAACAATACAATCCCTTGGGTTAAATTGTTTTGCTAATTGTGAGCATTTAACTTATGTCCATTTACCAATGTCATTGACTAGTCTATCTCCGTATTGTTTCTTAAATTGTTCTTCTCTTAAATCAATTGAACTACCTACATCCCTTCTTTCTCTTCAAACACATTGTTTTGATCAGTGTTCTTCTTTATCTTCAATAAAACTTCCTGACTCTCTTTTAATCATTGATTCATATGCCTTTTCTTTATGTTATTCTCTTATTTCAATTGACTTATCTTCTAATCTTCAAGTCATTAATTCAAATGCTTTCGATCGTTGTGAAAAACTTAGGTCTATCGAATTACCAATTTCATTAAAATGTATTAATTCAAATGCTTTCAGACAATGTGTTTCTCTAAATAATATTAACATTCCTCCTAACATTCTTTTCATAGACCAAAATACATTCAGCAGATGTAATAACATCACTTCATTTAATCTTCCAAAGTCTTTAAGCTCTTGGGTTTTTAATATAGAGTCTAAGAATTTTAAAGTAAATTTAATTTAGAGATTCTTGACGTTTTTCTTTCTTTTCTTTTTATTTCTTAATCTTCTCTTCAACTTATTACTCCGTTAAATGAATAGCTAATGACGTGGAACATTCTTAATAAATACTTTTTAAGATTCTACCCATTAAAAAATTTATTAGTACGAACTGAAAATATCAGACTTGTCATTATGTCTATTCAACAAGTTTTAGAAAATCTTCAAATAAATAATGATACAAACGTGAATGGAAGACAACTTAAAATCTCGATGATCAACTTATTTAAATTTATATCTTCTCAAATAAAAGATGTACAAGAAGAAGATAACAAAAAACAAGCTAATCTTGTTAAAACCCTTCAAGTTGTTATCAAAGAAGTTGACACAATAAAAAAGGTACAACAAGAAACACAAAATAAAATAGAGGTAATGGCTAATGTAATTAGAAAAATGTCTGATAAAATAAATGAGTCAAAAGGAACTACATCCCCAAATATGTCTTTACTTCAAAAATCTTGTGGATGTGAAGAAAACAGAAAAATTATTTTAGATATGAAGAAGAAGCTTGGAGAAATCAATAACATAATTGATGAAGTTAAAGAAAATTACAAAGAATTAAAAAACCAAGTAAGAACTACTAACTCAAATATTGCTTCTATAAAGGAAGAGTTAAACATTTGTAAATCATTAACAAACTCAAATTCTCAAGAAATTAAACACCCCCGAGAAAAGAATGTTGCTCCAGTCTCCACTTTTAATGTTCCTCAATCACCTCAGGCGTGTGTACAACCACCACCACCTCCTCCTATTGACAATTCAAAGGTACCAAGCGTTTCAAGTATTTCTACGTCAGGAAGAGGAGACTTACTTTCACAAATCCAGCGAGGAAAAAAATTAAAAAAGACCACTGTAAATGATCGTTCTAAACCAATGATTTCTAAAGAACAACAAAGTCCAACAACTCCACATTATCCAACAAACCCTTTAATGGCTGCTATTGCAGCACGAGCAAATAGAGGAGGAAGTTCAATGAAAAATACTCGAGGAACACCACAAAGAAAATGGTAAAAAGTTAATTAACAAAAAATGGTTTGTTTATATTTTACTCTATCTTTTTTGAAGATTGAACATAAACAAAATTTATGACATAAATTTTTATTAATGTCTCAACTTTCATCTTTAAACTTAACATATCTATGTTGTATTATTATTGTTAACATCTATTCATTATTCCTACTTAATTATATAATTATATACTTCTTAACAAAAATATTCAATTTAATATTAATAAGAAAAACTTTGGAAACACAAAAATATTAATTTCAATACTTTCTTTAAAAATTTGCTTTTATTAACATAACAAAATATTCAAACAAGATTGTTTCTCTTATACAGTTTTAAGCAGAGCCAAAACTCTTTTATCAACATACCATTGTGTTTAAGTTTAAATATCCTTCAACCATCCAAAATTAAAATTATATAAATAATAAACCAATTGATAAAAAAAATGATACGTCAAAAAGATACAAAAAAGATACAATGCTTAATTTACCAAAGATCCATTTAAATTATATAACACTAACCAAAAACAATGAATAAATTATCTAAAACAACTTTTCATTTACTAATGAATAACACATTAGAATCCTCCATAATAATTTGCTGGTGTACAACCAGTTGGATACATTACTTGATAAGGATCAGCTGGTACAATATATCCAGGTGGATAAACTGGTACGGTAGTAGTAACCACAGGAACAGTTGGACAACATGCAGGGACAGTTGTTCCATACATGGGTCTCCCGAGTTGGTCATAACCAATAATTGGCATATATCCTGACATAACTTAATCTGATACTTCTCAGTCCTCTTTTCAAGTTTAAATCTTTTGGTTTTTTCTTGAAACTATTTTAAACTAATTTGTTAATTTAAATAAATTTTAATAATCTTTCTTGACTTTAATCCACAACATCTATTTTCACAATTAAATTACCAACTACATATTCAATCTTTGATGGTAATCCATATCCTTTAAAAATTAACTCTTCATAATTACCTTCAATCTTTTTTTTTAACGTTTAGTCTAGTAGAGTCAAAAAGAACTAAAGAATGACAAATCCAATTTCTATATCTTCATTTGACTTGAATAGTCGTAATCAAATCATTTCCACTTCTCTGAAAATTGTTATCATAAAAATAAACTACATATTCTCTAAGTTATCCATAAACGCTTAGTGAATATTTTTTTCCACCAGACTGACCTTTTCCTATGTGTATAACTTGAGGTTGTCCTTCAATTATTATGTCAAAAATCCCTCCAGTCATTACACACTTCAGACTCATATTAATCACATTCATTGATTGTGCTTTTCCATTTTCTGAAAGTGGAATGAAACTATTGTCTATAGGTTGTGGATAGTCTTGAATTTGTTAATATAATTGGAATGATTCAATAGGAACAATATCATTCATATGAAACAATGACTTTATTAGTTCTTTTTACATTAAAAAGTAATAAAAATCACTTAAATTAATTCTCTGGAACTTCAATTTCTCCATTGTTAATTTCTGCAATTACTTGTTTTGGTGATTTCTTATCAACTTGGCATCCACATGAATTGCAGGTTCCAAGAATTTCTTTAACTGTTCCTGCAAATGTCTTAGCAAGTGATCTTGGTCTCATTGTTCTAGCAATTTCATAAACATCATCCATTGAAATAGATCCAGAGTGAACGGTTGGAATTCCCTTGTTCTTCTTTCTATCCTTTGGTGGTTCTTTAAGTGCTTTAAGAATAAGAGCAGCAGCTGATGGAATAACTTCATATGTAGCTACTCTATTAACAACAGTAATTCTAACTGTTACTCTCAATCCTTTCCATGCAAGTGTTGATTTGGCAAGGTCATCACCTGTTTTCTTTGGGTTAAGTCCAAGAGGTCCAACCTTTGGTCCAAGAGATGCACCTGCTGCTGCATCACCTGCAACTACTTTAACAACTAATTCTTTCTTTTCATTTGGATTTGGTTTAGGTGGCATGGAGAAAGCTCTTGTACATTTTTTAGTTCATTTATTTTACTTATCAATTATCACCCTTTTTTTTGTGTTTTAGGGTTTTTTCTTTTGTGTTTTTCTTTCTTTATTTTATTTTTAATTTTAGAAAAATAAAAAAAAATAAATAAACATCATTAGTTTTTAGAAGATAAACTTATTTATTTCATCTGTTAAAAGAAAAAATGGGCAACCTTAATAGCCAAACAGTAGATAATAGTTTTCAACAAAAACAGTTCGAATTAAAAGTAAACCGAGATAATCTTAGTAAACGGGAAAAAGAATATCAAAATAATATTGAAAAATTAAATAAAGAAGCAAGAAAATATTGTAGAAAAGGAGATAAAGAAAATGCAAAAAGGCAAATAAAATTAAGAACACTTTATGAAACTAATTTAAAGGAAATTCGGTGTTATCTTGATCAAACAGAAACTATAGTTTGTTAATGGTATACAATTTTTAGTCATATCCTTTCTTTTCTTTCAAGTTTCTTTTCTTTTTAATTGGTTTTATGAGACAGCTAGTTCAACCAAAAAGAAACATGAAATGAATTTAGACGAAAATAATCATATAGTTAATTCAGTTGGAAGCTTCAAAAAGAAACTATGACGTAGCAAAGTTAATGGATGAAAGTAATAAAGAAATAAAAAAAATATTAAACAAAATACCTAAAAATTTTATTGAGGAGATTATCAATACTAAGAAAGAAAATAGTGATAAACTAAAGGAGATTGATTCATTGTATGAACAATTAAATGATATAGACAATGAAAATCAAATTGAACAAGAACTAAATAAACTTGCTTTAGAGGTTATGAGTGAAAAAGAAGGCGGTATAGAAGCTGTGAAAAATGAGGTTATTGCTGAGTCACTACCAGAGGTTAATTCTCAAAGTGATATGTTAATATCTAAACAAAATATTGTAATAGAAACCTTTTAATACTTCTCTCTTATTGATGTTTTTTCTTTTCACAAATTTATAAAAAACATATTATAAAAAAAGATAAAAAATAAAAATCAATTCTATTCAAACATGTTGAAGAATCTCTCCGTTTTATCCTTCAATTGATTTTCTTACACATCTTCTAACTTTTTTCTTAAACTCTTCTCTGTTATTTCTCCATTCCACAGCAGCATCAACATTTGCTGGACTTTCATCATTAGGAGCAGAAAGCATAGAAATTACACTTATTAAAATTGATTCTACTGAATGTATTGGATTCCATCTTTCAGCAGCACTCTCATACCCAAATTCATCTTCTCCTGGTGGATGAAGGATAGAAATACAAACATCACCTGTTTTGTATACGTTCGGATGCCAAATTTCTGAAATAAATTTCATTTTTGGTGGGTTGTTAGGATAATCTTTTGGGAAAGTTAATGTAGCTTGAAACATTCCTCCTTCATAGTACGTATCTGGAGGACCAACAATCATTACTTGCCATACATAAATGTCTGAATCGTTGACTAGTCCAACTGAAAATCCATCCACTGGATTTTTAGTAAGTTCTTGTAATTGTTTAGCTAAAATAAGGGCTGACTTGTTTGCCATTAAGCAGAATAAATTGATTTTAGTTCAGATTACGTTTCCATTAAAAGTTGCCACTTTTCACTTCGTTGCACTTTTTTCTCCCGAAAAATTTTGGATTTTTTTTCTTTTTTTTTAAAGATTTTCATCTTATAATATTTTCTATTAACTTATTCAATATAATTAATTATTTATATTTAGTTTAAATTATAAATAATAATTTTTCTATTTATTAATAAAACCTTTGCTTTCAATTAATTATTTTATGACATAATTTATTTTTTTTTTGTTGTATAATTCAATTCTAATTCTCTTAATTTTTATCATCAATTTATGAGTAAACCTTCAAATAATTCTTAAGACTTGTTTGACTTATTATAATTATCTTTAAATTTAATTGATTTGCACCTTATTCATTCTCATTTCATTAGTATAATGAATATATTTGTTTTAGAGAAGAAATGACTATGTAAAAACACCAATAAACAGTTATAATAATTACAACAAAAAACATTTGAATAATTATCAAAATGGAAGAATGACATTTTTGAAAGAATAATTGATTTGATATTTAACAATGAAACAAAGATATTTAAGAATATTGATTATTAAAATTGTATATTCTCAATAAAATTGTTAAGAAAGTCAATAAATAGAAGAGACAATTAAATGATAAATATAATGGAAACACATGACAGTAACTGATGATAGTAAAAGAATAATGTACTAAAATAGAGAAAGAAGGTTAATATTTATAAATGAAAATAAATGGATAGATATAAATAATAAACAATCAATGAGAGATAAATGAAATAAGATAAATACAAAAATAAGCATATAGAAAAGAGAGAAGATATGGAATGGAGTTAATAAAAGAAGCAAAAAGAATAATGAAAGGTATATTGAAGTAAAAATGATAACGATGTACAAAAGAAAAAGAAGAAGTAAAAGATATGATGTAGTACAGAAAAAAATGAATAAAAATCGAAAATAAGAAAATGAAATACAGAATAAAGGAAATAAATAACAAATAATAAGAATAAAGAAGAATAGACTAATGGAAATAAATTACAATAACAAAAGAAAGACATTACTAACATTTCTATCAATAATAATTAAATTAAATGAGGAATTCTTTTCAATAAACAAACAACAATAATGAAGAAAGAGTGAAAATAAAAAATATAGAAATAAAATAGAAGAGATACAATTTATAATATAATATAATATCAAAAACCAAGAATGATAAATAATTAAAATAAAAAAATGAATAATATGTTTATTTCATTATATCAAATTGAAATATAATTATGAATTACTAACAATCAAACAACTAATAGAATAAAATACAATAAATTGAAGAAAAGAACGTTTGTTGATAAAATAATATTTAAAATAACAACAAATATCATACATACTATTAATATACAGAATAATGAAAAAGAGACAAAATGATTGATATATCGAAGAGAAGTAATAATTATTTCAATAATAAGGTAATATCTTGAAGAAATACAAAATATCAATTTACAATATCAACTTCATTGAATAACATCAACATTTTGTTCAATTACATTTCATTATAATAATGAATTGTGAATAGAAATATTATGAAATAGTATACAAAAAAGGTACACACTGATATAGACTATGTTCAAAATGAAAATACAACAGCAACACATTTGAATGAATTAAATAATACAAAAATTAGAAGAGAAAGTAATGAATATGAAGATAAAACAATAGGAAACAATCCAATTGTAATAAGTAATGTATTGAATTATTCTTAAATTAACAATAAGAAATGAAATAAACAGATGAATAATACAAATGAGAGATAATATATAATAATTATAATGATGGCAGTTTTGGTGATGTAAATACATAATAAAATACATCAGTTAAATAATCAAATCAATGAGTGAGATACAATGATCATAACAACAGTAATTATAATATTATAACTCCTCAAAACAATGAAAATTGAATATAAGAATAAACGTCATTAATTTGAATATTTAAGTGAAAGAAAAGTTGAGAAAATAAATGATGATTATAATTTGTCGTTTTTGTGAAAATGACAAAGTACTTTCATTTTTGATTTGAATAAAACAGATATGAATGAACAATGCTAAACAATATAACACTTTTAATAATTAATAATTTTGTAAAAATACTGATATTTTAAAAAGTAGTGGAAATATATTAAATTATATTCAAACTAATTTAACAAACTGAAAGAATTTATATTAAAATAAGTGAAAGTGCATAAAGTGTGCTGATTAAAGTTTTTCATGTAATGATAAATATATAATCAGATAGTTAAAACAACAAATAAAATAATAACAATGTTTTTATAGAGGAGAAAAATGAAATTCACAAAGATGAATTGATGATAATTTATATAGAGCATCAGAAATGGAAAATTTTGTGTTAATATTTTAATATTTATTTGATATCATTCATAAATTCTTATTTTATGTAAAACTAAAATAAGGTACATCCAAAGATTAAAAATAAAGTAAAATAATTTCTTATCTTTTTCTTTTTTTCGTGTTTTTGTTATTTACTCTCTTATTCATTATTTCATTTTTATTCTTATTATTCATAATCTTTGTTTGTAAAGTAATTCTTCCATTTTATGTTACTCATTATTTCATTCTTGTTTTGTTTAATTATCATTTTTATTATGTTATGTGTATTATTCTATATTCATTTCCAACTTCTTATTCTAGAAATTAGTTTAATTCCATTAACTATTGAATAATATAACATTTTCTTTTAATACTCAATTCATTTTTATTTGTTATTTTATTTGTTTTGTCTTTTATTATTGATTATTATTTTGTTGGTTGATGCTTACGTTTTATGTTGATTTTATAATTTTTAATGTTATGAGTATATAAATAAAGAAAAGAATGAAACAGATTATAAAAGAGAATGGATTTGAGTATCAGACTGTAGTTGTGTAACAGAGTAGAAGATAATACAAAAGTTTTTATTGTAAACAAGTGCTTTGTGATCATTCATTGACATTAACCATGATCTTTTGTTACTTGGTTGTGCAAGAGTTATGAAAGATGAACTAATCTCTTATATATCCTGTTTATTTAGGCAACGAAAAAAGCAAATAATTGAAAAAGAAGAGAATGAATGATATAAAAGAATAAAAAGAAAGTAAGAAGTAGAATATGATGAAGAAAGAATAAAAGTAGAAAGGAGAGAATATAAAAAGAAAGAAGATAAAGTGTAATAAAACAAAAGAGATGATAAAAGAAGAAAAGAATGAAAAAAATAAAGGATTCAAATTTTATTGAAACAAATAAAAAAAGCGCAAAATTTAATGATGCAAAATTTAATGATGCAAAATATTTAGCAACATTTTTATGGATGCAAAATATTTTGAAATAAAAATAATTCATCATTTGATATTATTATATTTGATAATAAATTATATTATATATATTAAATATAATATATTTCTTTATTATTTATCTTTCTTTTCTTTTTATTATTTCATATATTAAATTATTATTCATTCATTTATTATTTATATTTCATTTATTAAATAAAATGAAAATGAAATTGTAAAATATCAATCAATTAAATATTCATGAATAATAATTTATTAATATTTAATAATTGAAATAATAAATAATAAAGTAACAATAATGATATATTCAATATATTCTTTATTTGATTTGTTCAATATTAGATTATTCTATTTCATTATCATTTCATTATCTTCATTATTTTATTTCATTATTTCATATTCATTTATTATTTTTTAAAATCAAATAAACAATAATATTGATATTCATTCATCATATTAATTTAATATAATAAATATACACAACATTTCAGAATAAAGAATGAATAATTAACATTTAAAATATTGATTATATTTAATATTTTGATCAACATAAAATCAATAAAACATATATTTTGATAATACACAAATGAAATAATAAAGAAATATACAATACTAAAGAATTAATAAAAAAGAAATAAAAAGAATGAATAAATGAATATAAAATTGATAAATAATAGAAGAAACAAATAGAAACAACAACGAAAAACAAATAATATAAAAAGAATATAAATATATAAAAGAATAAAAATAAAGTAGAAGAAGAATATAAAAATAATAAATCACAAAGAGATGATAAAATAAGAAAAGAAGAAATAAAAAGTGTATTTTTATTTTAAAAATTAGAAATATGAAATAAAAGTGTCTAATATAATGGTGTAAAATGATTAACAATATTTTATTAATGAAAAATATTTTATTCGTTTTATGTTATTATTTATATGTATAACTTCATTATGATGTTTATTATATATTCAATCATAAGTGTTATGTTATTATTATAACATATAATAAGTGATAAAATATAAATGAAAATGATATG